CCTAGGTCCGACATGTCAGCTGTGGCTCTTGATGGGGCCCCAGATGTGTTTGTAGATGGCTCATGTTCTAGGCCAAAATGATAGTACTTACCATGCAGGATACGGCATTGTGCATCTTCCTGACAAAATACTCGAGGCAAAGCCAATTCCATATCAGTCAGCCCAAGCAGCCGAACTGATTGCCCTTACAAGAGCATGTCAATTATTTGCAGGGCAGGATGTCAACATTTACACAGACTCCAAGTACGCCCATGGTGCTATACATGACTTTGGGGTCATTTGGGAGAGAAGAGGATTCATTGCTGCTGATGGCAAAACCATATCTCACTCTTCTTTGATATCTGATCTACTCAAAGCCATACAGTTACCAAAAACATTAGCCATTCTTCATTGCAGGGCACATACAAATCACAGAGATCATATTGCCAAAGGAAATGCATTAGCAGATAAGGTAGCAAGGAAGCCGCATTACAACAGGTGGCCAGTGAACAGATGCCTTTGCTCACTTCAGGCATCACAACCACCCCACATGACCAGATGTATGCAGATTTACAAACATTTGCTACAAAAGTCGATTTAGCAGACTGGGATGGTTCTGGAGCACAACTAGATCCAGCTTCTGGTCTATTGTGCTTAGAGGGGAAACCATGCATTCCCATGTCAAGTGCCCCACTGTTCATTGCACAGTACCACAGTCTAGGACATAGAGGATGGAAAACGACATGTGAAAACATTATTGCAGGATTTTTACATTACAGGTTTATCTAGGTTGGTGAAAGAATATGTTTCCAGGTGCATTACATGTATAAGGAACAATCCACAGAACCCAAAGAAATCACAACACCAGCATCTAGTGTACCCAACTACACCTTTCACCCATTTACAAATAGATTTTACCCACATGCCAAAAACAGGACAGAGGCAAGAGTTTTTGTTGGTAATGGTGGATATGTTCAGCAGATGGGTGGAAGCATTTGTCACTAATAAAGAAGACGCGCAAACTGTAGTCAGAATTCTCACACAGGAGATAATACCCAGATGGGGATGTCCGCTGCAGATAAATTCTGATAACGGACCAGCTTTTGTGGCCAAGGTATGTCAAGATTTGGTAAAAGTACTTAAGATAGATTGGAAGTTTCATATTCCCTATCATCCTCAAAGTTGGGGTATAGTAGAAAGGATGAACAGGACAATTAAGGATAAGTTGAGGAAGGCCACTGGAGGAACCTATACCCACTGGAAGAAGATGTTACCTGCAATTCTAGCAGAGGTAAGAATGACACCTAGTAAGACTACAGGGTTATCTCCTTTTGAAATATTAATGGGAAGACCGTTCCCCACTCCTTGGGCTAGACAGCCACTTATGTTAGAAAGAGGGGACCTTGACCTGGTACAACAAGAATATGTGAAAAAATTGATTCAAATTTTAGATAAGGTTGAAAGAAATGTTGCTCGCACTTTTTCTTTTATTTTTCAGGAACCAACCCACCTTTTCCAAGTGGGAGATGTCGTAGTGGTCCGTCAACTTGCTAAAGACAAGAAGCAAGGCTACCCCTTTGGACCACCTACTACGGTGATAGCGGTTACCAGAACGGCTGTTCTGGTGGAGAATTCCCAGTCCTGGATCCATGCTAGTTGAGTGAAGAAGGTGAACCAAACACCTGAGAAACATGAGATGGAAAAAGGAGGTGAAGTATGAGAGAAAAATCCTCGAAGAGTGGGTGAAGTAAGTGAAAAAGGCCCTGAAGATGAAATTTTTTACTGCCCCTCATGGTGCTTTGAAACTCTGGATCCTATTGGGCACACTGACTGTGCTCTTTTTCCTGCCAGTATGGATCCTAACTGTATTTATCACCTGAGGACTTGGGCCTAATAAAAAGTATCTGTGGTCAAGGACTAGTTTTAAATGAGACCCAGATAACCAAAAGTGAAAGAAAGTCAAAAAGAAAGTTTTGAAGACAAACAATCCTTTTTCAGGAAAAATGTTGATGATGCAGTTTAAATCTGCTTATGCTCAAAAGTCAGGTTCTGATAAATGTTGGATCTGTAGTAGTAAGTTACATCCGAGCACATAGGAAATTCCTCTTCTGGCCGCTCCAGTCAAAATATTTTTGTTAATAAAAGGGAATGTAAGTATTGGTTTGACCAATATTACTTCTAATGCCACCATATCTTTTCCAACTCTGGGAGTCACTCAACTCCCCGATTGGTGTTTTAGACTGGGGAATACTTCCCACAAGGGAAAGGGAATGTGCTCTCAGTCCATATTAAATATATCTGATCCTGGAAGGAGGGATGGAACTTCTTCTGTGAAACTCTGGCAAGTAAATGGTAAAACCCTGAATGAAAGTTTAGAAGGGATACAAGATAATGTGGGGAAAACTATGTTTGGAAAACTTCTTTTTTATTTTACACTTGTCACCCCTGAATTTCATTCTGCAATACAAAAATTGCCGATCTCTTTGGGAAACAATACCTATATCTGTTGTGGTAAGAAGATCTGTTACCCTTGGATACCGAGTAATGTCCAGGGCTGGTGCTATGTAGCCCAATTAGTGCCAATTATGGCAGCTATAGACCAAAAGGAACACCAGGTAAAAGCCAGTACATACCCAAAACACCAACTAACTCTAAATAATTACACAAACATTATTGATGATATACTGGAGAGGAACTCTAAGGACATAGGGTTGCTAAATACTGAGACCAGAGCTATTAGAAAACAGCTGGAGATGCAAGAATTAGCTATTGAAAGTATGAGTGCTGCTCTGACAGGTCTGTGTGAGATGACAGAGGATTATGAATGTTGTACTTGGATATATAATACCACAATGACTGTTCCAGATTATTATGAAATAATAAAGCAACACAGGGAACAGGTAGATGGTTTGATGGAAGAAGCTAGAGCTATAGGAAAAGATGGATGGACTTTTGATTGGTTAGGATCAGGATTTGGTTCCATTTTTTCATGGATGAAAGGTATCGCTGTAAGCATAGTCATGATATTGTTTTTTGTTTTATCTTTATATCTATGTTTTAAATGCTCATTATATTGCATTGCTAGAGCTACCAAGCCGCAAAATACAAATGAAGGTTATCTAGCTATGTACAAAAAGATGAATGAAGTAAAGAATTGAGATCATGTTCATGATCTTAGAGGGGATTGAAAGGATCTAGATAACTTCCATTTTGTATTATGTACGCCATTTTAAGTATTAAGTATTAAGTTAGCTTTTTGTAGAGATATTAGAAGTTTAATGAAACTGTTTTTGGTTGTTCAAGGATGTATCAACAGAAGCTAACATGACCCTGACAATGTCTTTGTCTGTCTGTTTTCCCTAAAAGTTAGACAAAATAATTTGTACCAAGAAATGTATATGTTATGTTTCATGTAGTCAGCTCATGATGGAAAGTTACAAGTTACAGTTTTGAAACTCGCTCCCCCCTCCCTTATGATTATCTGTAGTCTATATAATCTTATTAATGTCTAATAAACTTTGAACATCTCTGAACATAAGCTGTCGTGATTTCCGTGTTCAAGGGGTGTTCCCAGAATTCTGCTGATAAACCAGGAATCTCTCCACAGACCGGGGGTCTCTGAGGGGAAAAGAAAATCATTCCTTTCAGCAAGCATCCCCATAAAAGCTCGCCTGCGGAAGGAAGCATGAAGTGCTCCAAAATCTCCTGGTAGACGGCTGCGTTGACCCTGGACTTAATGAAGCACAGTGGACCAACACCAGCAGATGACATGGCTCCCCAAATTAACACAGACTGTGGAAACTTCACACTGGACTTCAAGCATCTTGCAGTGTGTGCCTCTCCATTCTTCCTCCATACTCTGGGTCCTTGGTTTCCAAATGAGATGCAAAAGTTGCTCTCATCAGAAAAGAGGACTTTGGACCACTGAGCAACAGACCAGGTCTGTTTTTCTTTAGCCCAGGTAAGACGCTTCTGACATTGTTTGTTGTTCAGGAGCGGCTTGACAAGAGGAATACGACATTTGAAGCCCATGTCCAGGATCTGTCTGTGTGTGGTGGCTCTTGATGCACTGACTCCAGCCTCAGTCCACTGCTTGTGAAAGTCCACAACACTTTTTGAATAGCCTTTTCCTGAAAATCCTCTCCAGGCTGCGGTCATCCCTGCTGCTTGTGCTCCTTTTGTCTTCCACAGTTTTCCCTTCCACATAACTTTCTATTAATGTGCTTTGATACAGCACTTTGGGAACATCCACCTTCTTTTCCAACTACCTTTTGAGGCTTTCCCTCCTTATGGAGGGTGTCAATGATGGTTTTCTGCACAACTGTCAGGTCAGCAGTCTTTCCCATGATTGTGATTTCTACTGAACCAGACTGAGAGACCATTTAAAGGCTCAGGGACCCTTTGCAGGTGTTATTGCTTAATTAGCTGATTAGAGTGGGACACTTTGAGCCGAGAATATTGCACCTTTTCACAATATTCTAATTCTCTGAGATTGTGGATTTGGGGGTTTTCATGAGCTGTAAGCCATAATCATCACAATTATGACAAATCACGGCTTGAACTATCTTGCTTTGCATGTAATGAGTCTATCTCATATATTAGTTTCACCTTTTAAGTTGCATTAGTGAAATAAATGAACTTTTGCACGATATTCTAATTTTTCGAGTTTCATCTATATAATTTTTGGGGGTCCATGCAATCTTCAGGCCTAACATGATTTCTTAAACGTGGGCAAGGCAGTGAAAGGGTTAATGGGGCCTTAATACACCTTACTAGCTCGGATAGCCTGCTCAAAAGGATTTTTTTTTTTAAAGAACTCTGGGTAAAAGCCCACCACATGGGTTATCTGCTCATTTTGTTGTAATGCATGGCGCAAAAAAAATGTTGCCCGGAGTTGGGCTTTTAAACGGTGACCCCTATCAAAAAATCGAGCCTTACCACCCCACAGAGCCCGTAGCTTAGAGCAACAATGTCTTACCTTTACAAAAGTGAAGTCCTGCATCATTTACTGACTTTATTGATCCGGGGCGACAGATACAAGGAGAGGTGCTTCCTGTTTTGGGACAGATGACTGCTGGTTAAAAAGAACAGGACAGTCAGTGTGATCCATTTATCAGCGGAATGCCTTGGATGTGCAATGTAGCGATATAATATGACTATATACAGTATACTGTTTGTATGTGTGTGCGTGTGCTTGTGTACAGGGGCGGACTGACCATTCGGAAACTCGGGCACTGCCTGAGGGCCCGAGGTCAGTAAGGGGCCCCATGAGATTCCCCTGGTACCTTTCATAGGCTTTTTTGGGTGTGGTTTGAGTGTGGGCAGGGGCAAAGGGGCCCCATGATCCCCTATTGCCCGGGGGCCCCATGAGTTGTCAGTCCGCCCCTGCTTGTGTGTATATCATTACAACATTCATATATTATACCTCCAAATTAGCATGTGAATATCCAACATTTTCATCCATTTTCATCTGTTACTGGAACAGGAATAAATGTGAGGTTTCCAATGAATACACTTGTTAAAGTCTAAGTTCTCATTCACACAAGTGACGGGGGGTAGAGATAACCATTATCTGATGCAGATTAAAGGTCATCTGTTGAATGACAATGGTAAATACAATATAATAAAATTGTGATTACATTGTATTTATTTCTTAGTGAAGTGACTGAACAGTGTATAAAAGTTCTGCTCCACACAGCAGCTGCTGCTGTGATAAAGAACAAGTCGGGGCTGTATTATATTTGGCAGGATGTGACAACATTGCAGCCAGGGAGTGGCAGTGGGGGTGTAAGGGAATTCCTGTGAGACGGCTGGCTAATAGAAATGCGCATGCGCACAGCAATCTCTGCAGAATAATGACCAGACGTGCCCATGAGCACAAAAATGCGTGATCACGCACAGGCACTCGCACACACACAGTGAATATTGGCGCCAGATGGACTATTTAAAGGATTCTTCTGCCTGTGCTTAGTGCTGACTGGTCTTCAGCTGTTTCCCTGTGCCCTGCTGTATTTTTCTATGATCCCCTTGTTGCTGACCCGGCTTGTAACTAACCTGACTTTGGATTCCGCTCCTGCCTTGTTGCTAGTTTCTGTTCCCTGCTCTGTTCCTTACTTCGGCTTGCTCATGATTTGGAACCTTGCTGCCCACCTGTTGATGACCTTGGCTATTCCTGTGACCTTGTTCCTGTCTCCGATCACAGCTTTCTGTCCTGCCTGAGTTCCCTGCCTGGCTGTCTACTGTACCAGCTCTGCATATCATAAACTGTTCCTGCTTCAAGTCATCTGGGAGATCTGACACATCACTTATCCTGATCCTGTTGTGCAAGCGGAGTGCCCTTTTAACCCAGGTGGGATTCTGAAACATCGCTACCATTCCTGAACCGGTGGTTTGACAGTCTCTTCAGGACTCCAACTGCAAGCTCTTCAGACAACACCTGCTGGCACTCTTGTTCCCCTGGTCCCTAGGCACTCTCTGTTCCACTTCCAGCGGGGTCAGGGCTAGTGACACAAGTGAGGCCGACCTCGTCATTTCATTCTCCTATCAGGTATGTGACGGGGGAAGGGGAACAGGTCTTAAGAGATACGCCCTAGGAATGGTTGCGGTGAAGTATAATAGGACAACTCTTTTACGCCAAGGTCCACAGGTGGTCCTGGAGTCCCCCTGGAAATATAAGCTGTCCCAGGGTGCTGCAGGCAAGAAAGAGGAGAGGACACAGTCCAAGTGGATGTCATTCTTGTCTAGGCAAGAATTGAGGAAGTGGGAGTGCATTCCTGTCAAAAATTATATCTGCTCTCCAAAAAATAAAATCTAATATGAGCAATACTTTCATTTTTGAGTTAAAAAAAAAATTAAAAAATCAGCAGCTACAAATACTGTAGTTGCTGACTTTTATTATAAGGACATTTTCCTGTCCAGGGATCCAGCATTGTCCTCACTTGAATCAATTTTCAATTGTTTTTGGGTCCAGAAGCTGGCATCTTAACTAAGGGCAGCCAGCAGTGAAGCCTTGTGGCTTTACTGCTGGTTTCTCACTGAGTGAGCTTTGTGAGTGGTCCACAGTCTTCTGGGATCTGTGATGTGTCCCAGAGGACAGCAGGGGAAGGGGGGAGGAACTTCCACTCAGATCCAACCGCAAGTGGGAGCAGGTACCTGTCCCTTCCCGCTCCATAAAAGTTCCAAATGTCAAAGAGGAGAGAGGGAAGATGAAAATAAGCAGAATGTTCCCTTTTGGGTGAAGTTCTGCTTTCAGAAGTCAGCGTTGTGTTAGTGAAAGTCTTTTTGATTTGCTTTGGTCACCTTAAAAACCTGGTGGGTTATAATATCTTGTTGGTCTTCAAGGCCTATTCCACAGGACACATGATATCCAGTGTTACAGAAATAAAGGTACTGATGGAGTTTCACTTTCAGTTCCTATTATGTCATATTACGCTAAATGAATTAGTAAACTGCTCACCTGCCTGTGCTGTCTGTGGCCACTGTGGGGACGTTGAGGTTTCCAAAGGAGTGATGAGTAAGGTTGGTGATAGAAATGTATAGGCTGCTATTGTATCCATCTTCATACTTGCTGTTTTTTGTGCTATTAGAACAGAGGCGGAAGTCAGGCCTGCTAAAGAAGGTTTTTTTTAGCAACAACTTGAGAATTACAACTACATTTTTTTTTTCATTGTGGTTCTTATCGCCTGAAAATTATCCCTATTTTATAAACCTGTTATTTTAAAGGTATAGTGTAGCAGTCCTTTATATAGTCCCTATTATATGTTGTGTACAGAACTAAACAATACTTTTTTCTAAGAATATTTTTTTAGTTGTGTAAATAGGAAATGTGGCATATGAATAGTTTGTATTTTCATATGTAGATAGCAGTTGGAGCTTTTGGTTCATTTTCACATGCTTTTCGGGGTCCCCTGATTTGTTTGTGAAATTTACACATGTAAGTGAATCAGAATATTGACACCTCCCTCCTCTTTCCATACATACTGTATGTCTCTGTGTGAAATTTCAATCAGAGACAGTGTCGGAAAGGAGACAGTTTCTTCTGTAATAGAAAACCCATAGTACTCTGTGAATCCAGTGGGTCTACCTTGTATTAAATGTTTGCGTGTAAAACAGATTTTTATATATAAATAAAAACAAAATAATTTCTTTAAAAATCTATATGCATAAATGGAGTTTTAGACAGCTCTGCCTGCTGACAGCTTGTGAATAGTTTTGTCCAGTTCTTTGTTTTACTCATCTTCTTTTGTTAGGTTCAGACTTTCATATAAAACCTGTTTTTTTCAGGCCTTACTTTAATAAGATTGTCTTTTGGCTCTCAAGAAAACTGTGTTTCCCTGTCATTTTCTTCCTGAGGGAAGCTGAGGAACTAAGCAATATATACTGTGATATTGCATGCTCAGTGGAGAGACATGTGTTCTGTTCAGAGTCACCAGCGGATGAAAAGCAGACCCGGGTCTGTAAGATCATGCACGCACCTCATTTCAGTGTTGGCGCCCATAGGACTGAGACAGGCCTATAGTTAGTTAGTTAGGGTCTCTGTTTGTGTCAGGCCACAAGTGTTGTTACTGATCATTGGAAGGACTCCACAACTTAAAGTGACATTTCACACTGGAGAGCTGATAAAATCCTACAAACTCAAGCCAGACTGGTGTTTTGCTCAGATGGAATACTCAGGCACATGCTACAGGACCAGTTATGGGAGGGGGAATACTGTAGATTTGTGTAAGATTGTAAGCTGTTGTGCTGCACCGCAGGCTAGCCCATACCATACACCCCTACACTGATTCCTGCTCTTTTAGGGTAATAACAGGTAAGGTGTGGCAGCTTAGTTGTGCCCGCCAGTAGGTAAATTACCTCACTTTCTACCTTCATCCATCAGAAGGAGCCGTGCTGTGCAGCACAAGGGTCTCAGCCTTTGGGCTGGGTGTATGTAAATTTATTGTATGTTTTTCCAGCATTTGTGGTTTTGTTTATTTGCCACATCTAAGTAAAATTCTGTTGTGACAAAAGCTGGTGTTGGGGTTGCTTTCCTCGTTTGTATCCTGGGGAGCCCACCCCGGTACACGGCTTACACATGCTCAATGTCAATGCTCACTGGCAGCAAGGATAAATAGTGTGTGCATGCGGGTGTTTTATTCATATTTGTAATACTCTGTCATAGTTGCCAACAGTCCCGAAATGCCCGGGACATTCACAAATTTTTGACAGCTGTCCTGATCAGACCTTGTCCTGGAAATCATGGTCTGCCACAGACCGCTGAGCCACTTGCTGTTCAACTTTAGTGCAGATGGCGCCAAAACAGTCAGAAGTCAGCTGGTGCCTACCTCATTGTGTGATTGGTAGGGACACCTAAGGGGGCATGGCCAGCTGAGGGGTGAGATTGCAGCAGCCAGGTCAGTCGCAGGAGGGGCACTTATGAGGCAGAGCAGGCTGCAGCGACTACTAAAGAGTGGACCCAACCAGATAGAGGAGCTGCTGGAACACAGAAGGACACAGTCCAGTGAGTGGACCCAACCAGAGGACAGAGGACTCAGGAAGAAGTGCGGGCGGGCAACCCCACCAGAGACCAGGTAATTGCTGACTGACTGGCTGCATTGCTTCATGACGTCCTCTCTCAGCTCAATACCAGTATCTTCAATTCTATTCCACAGCTGGCTCATTGTTGAACTGTTGTGTTCCCAGATTTCCAGATCTACAGATGACCTGTCTTTTGCCTGACATCCTATTTAACAATTTCCTGTAAGACTTCTCTTGTGCTCCATACATCTCTACTTGGGAAGCTTTTCTCTGTATCAGACTGCCCAATAATACTGAATACAGGCATCTCTCCCTATAAACACACTGATCTAACATATTTCTCAGTCAACTCTTACCTTAGGAATGGTATCCATGATAGTGCACAGCGCCCCATCCACCTTGCCAAACCTCTGACCTAATAACTGGTGACATCTCCTCATATGATGATGATCTTGCAGGGAAAGATTGTGAATGGGGGCCTCTCTGTGTTTTATTTAGTTTTTTTGAGGGTGGGAACGGAGGCACGGGTGGTCTGTATTTCATGGGGATGGCTATGAGGGAGCCTGTGCTTTCTTTTTTTGGGGGTGATTTTAATAAACTTTGTTGCAGATACCTAGCTTTTGTTATTCTGAAGAAATTGCTATTTTGTTTCTTTGTATGTGCAGAATTAATTTGAAGGGGTGTGACTTGATTTATCAATCAGCTGCTGCACCTGCAGGGTTCCAATGAAGAAAGTGGCAGGGTCTGCATCCCTTTAGATGTGATTTTCCTTTTGGAGTATCTCACCAAAAATTACATTTTGTTGCAGGGGATGTCGAAAATCTAACTCTTAGTGCAAACTTCTGGGAAAATCAGTGAGCCAATCATACAAGTAGGAAATTACATTTCTGTGGGGGTGTTCTGTGTACAGAATGCCTCCAAGTTGCCATATTGGATTGCATTTTACAGAAAATTACAGCGCTGCAGGTTGTAAGGTGGAGGGCATGGCAAGAAATTGTACCCTTCCCTCCACCTATGGGACTGTGGCAGACCAATTAAATTTCTAGTAGGAAGGTAATTTTCATATGTCCTGTAATTGGACAGTTTATGTTACATGTAAAATAATGGTCTTTTATGAACTGTCAAATATTAAGAAACATCATTTAGCAGTTAGTCAGCAGCTGAAGACAAAGGAGGTAACATCCCACTCTTCCTTTGTGGAGGCATTTTGTCCCTTTCCCTTGAAAGGGGATAGTAAATTATTTTCTGTATTGTATAACTCGAGCTTTAATGGCTGTGTTATTGACATATGTATGGCATACCCCCCAACTGTCCCTGATTTCCAGGATGGTCCCTGATTTGGAACAAAGTCCCTCTGTCCTTCTTTCCTTTTCATTTTGGTCTGATTTACATAGTTGTATATAGAATAAACTATTTATCTTTCAAAAAAGTGTGTTTTACAGTGCTGAACCTTTCATTCAAATTCTAAATTGTTGCCTTTGTAAACTTCAAAAGCCAGTATAAAATAATTGTAGTAGTTAAAAAAAAGCACTTGTAGGTTTAACTAATTTTTTTTGTCCAATTCACCTTTAAGAGGGCGTGGTAATGGGGCGTGTCCTATGCCTACATACATTTGCTAATAGGTGTCCTTCCTTCCCATCTCAAAAAGTTGGTAGGTGTGTGTATGGTTGTGGTACACTGGCTATAGTCATTGACATAGTATGGTAGTTAAATATAAATAAAAATTTTTATGTCAAGCTTATACATTTTATTATGTTTATTGCCTATAATAAAGGGCCACTGCCATTTCAATCCAAAATGCTTTCATGTCTAAATTATTTAATGTTACATTTATAGATGTATTGGTTGTTCTGCTTACAGTCCCATGAAAATGAAACATAATTTTTAAAAACATTCAATTATGATATGACTTGTGTCACAACTGTATATGCTATATTAATTTTTTTTACTTTGCTGTTTTTTTTTTTTAACCAAGAAAGTGGACTTACCTTCTTGCTCTAAGTTGTCTTCAATATTAGGAAAGAAAAGTCTTATGGCACCAATAAAGTGAAGACTGAGTGCAGGGGTAAGGTGATATCATTGCATGTATAAAGTGCACTTGGTAGCCTATCACAGTGCACTGTACAGACCAGTGTTCTTGGTTCACCAGTACTGTTCAAGTATGGTGAATCTTTCTAAAAGAGCAAACCACCTCTTCACTGTGCTACTGAACTGCTCACCTGACTTTGGTGTCTGTAGCCCTGTGGCTAGTGATGGACCGATTCGCGGTTGAACATTCGAACATAACTGAAGTTCGACTGCGAACTTCGCACAGAGGGAACAATTCACTAAGCGGTATCTTACCACATCTGAGTATGTTACACTGCACAGCTATTAAAAACATTCTTTAATGTTGCAGCTTTCAGCGGAGTTGCAAAAAGAATTGCCGGCATTGCCCAGCAATTACATTTCCTATTTTTTAAATGTGTGGGGTCCCCCCCATCCATATCAAGCCCTTTGGATTTGGTATGGATTTTGAGGAGAACCCCCACACCAAAATGTTTAAAAAATGGTGTGGCCCCCCCCCCCAAAATCCATACCAGACCCTTACTCAAGCTTGCAGCCCGCCAGGTCAGGAAAGTGGGGATAACCAAGCTCCTCCCCCAAAACCATACCAGGCCACATGCCCTCAAAATGGGGGGGTGCTTTGGGGTACCCCAAAGCACCTTGTCCCCATGTTGATGGGGACAAGGGCCTCTTCCCCACAACCATGCCAATGGTTGTGTGGGTCTGCGGGTGGAGGGCTTAATGGAATCTGGAAGCCCTCTTTAACAAGGGGGCCCCCAGATCCGGCCTCTCCATGTGAATGAGTATAAAAGTGTAGTGGAAAAATGACAGGAGACAGTCTTTGACAAGTCTTCTATTAAAAATAAATGGTCAGGTGCATTGCTTTGGTAAATCACAGTGCATTGTCAGGGCGCAGTGCATTGTGGGGCACGGTGGGCGAACAGCCATAAAGTGTTATTTTCCTCAAATACCTCAATCAGAAAAATACCACAACATGGTACATGATGGAGGTGATAA